TTGCAGAGGACCAGGGTTCAGTTCCTAGTACCCATATGGTGACTAACCATCTGTAACTCCAGTTCCAGGGGATCTGGTGCCCTTTTGTGGCCTCCATGGGCATTGTACACACATGGTATACTTGCATACATGCTACAAAATACACATTAAAACAGAATTAAATATAATTGATAATTAATTAATTCGTGCACACTCTAATGTCTATGGTCCCCACGATGCTCTTATACTCTCTGCCTAGCCTTTAGCAATCCAGGAAAATCTTAGCTAAATTCTTCTCAACTGTTGGTACAATGGATCCATCAGCCTCCCAGCTCTGCCACAAGAGAGCCAGTGCCCACATCTTATCTCTCCTTGGAGGCACCTGTTATTACACTACTTTTTTTTTTTTTTTTTTTTTTTGGTCTTTTTGAGACAGAGTCTCCCTGTAGCCAAAGCTGTCCTGGAACTCACTATGTAGACCAGGCTGGCCTTGAACTCACAGAGATCTGCCTGCCTCTGCCTCCTGAATGCTGGGATTAAAGGCGTATGCCACCACGCCTGGCCCAAGAATTATACTACTTTTTAAAAACTCTCATTTTAAAAATTGAGATAGAATTTATATAACATAAATTTTCTCCATTTTAAAGTGTGCAATCACTGACATTTATTACATCTACAACATTGCTCAAACATTCACCACTATCCAGAATGCTATCATCATCCCATAAAGAAACCTGTACTGAAAAAGTCATCATTCCCATGGGCCAGTGAGATGGCTCAGTGAGTGGGTAAGTGTACTTACTGCCAAGCCTGACAACCTGAGTTTGATCCTTGTGTCCTACACAGTGGAAAGAAAGGCTCAACTCCCATAAGCCATCCTCTGACCTCCCCATATGCACTGTGGCACATACAGGGCCCACAAACACACACACACACACACACACACACACACACACAAAAAAAAAACAAATTTAATAATACTTTTAAAGTAGCCATTTCCTACTTTCTCCTTTTCTCCTTTCTTGTTTTTACAAAGATTTATTTTATTTTCAATTATGTATATTTGTGTGTGTCTGTGTGGGGGTGTGTGCATGTGAGTGCCTGTGGGAGCCAGAAGAGGGTGTCAGATACCCTGAAACTGGAGCTACTTTAACGTGGTTGTGAGCTACTCAGCATGGATTCTGGGAATGGAACTGGGGTCCTCTACAAGAGCAGCCAGCACTCTTAACCCCTGAGCATCTCTCCAGCCCCTTCTTCCTTCTTGACCCTGGCACTTGTGTAATCCACCCTTCTTGCTCTCTACTGATTTGCCTGTTATGGGCATTTCATATAAATGTACATATAAAAGCTGGGTGTGGTGGCGCACGCCTTTAGTCCTAGCATTCAGGAGGCAGAGGCAGGCGGATCTCTGTGAGTTCAAGGCCACCCTGGTCTACATAGTGAGTTCCAAGTCAGCTGGGGCTACAGGGAGAACCTGTTTCAAAAACACTAAAAGCCGGGCATGGTGGTGCACGCCTGTAGTCCCAGCACTTGGGAGGCAGAGGCAGGTGGATCTCTGTGAGTTCAAGGCCAGCCTGGTCTACATAGTGAGTTCCAGGACAGCTGGGGCTTACAGGGAGACCCTGCTTCAAAAAAAAAAAAAAACAAAAAAAAAACAAAAAAAAAAACAAAAACACTAAAAAAAAAAAAAAGGTGCACATAAACAAACACATTCAGATTGTTTCGGGTTTTTTGTTTGTTTGTTTGTTTCTTTTGTTTGTTGTGCTGGGATTAAAGGCGTGCATCACCACACCTGGTGACATTCCAGTTTTAAAAAATATTTCATTTATTATTTTTATGTGTATGTGTGTATTGCACGCATATAGGTAAGTGCACCCATGTCGTGCAATGCCTGTGAAGGATAGAAGAGGCTGTCAGTTGTTAGCTGCTATATGGGTGCTGGGATTTGAACTCAGGTCTTCTGCAAGAACAACCACTGTTCATAACTGCTGAGCCATCTCTCCAGCCCTGACATTAGGGTTTTTTAAAAGTGTATTTTCATGTTGGACATGGGTACTCACCTTTAATCCTAGCACTCCGGAAGCAGAGGCAGACTGATCTCTGTGAGTTCAAGGCCAGCCTGGTCTACATAGAGAACTCCAGGTCAGCCAGGGCTACATAATGAGAACCTGTCTCAAAGATATATAACAGAGGCTGGAGAGATGGCTCAGTGGTTAAGAACACTGGCTGTTCTTGCAGAAGACCTGGGTTCAAATCCCAGCACCCACATGGCAGCTAACAACTATCCTTAACTCCAATTCCAGGGGCTCTGACAGCCTCACTGTCCTCCGAGGGCATTGCACGACACGGGTGCACTTACCTACATGCAGGCAATACACAGATACACATAAAATAATAATAAATAAAATATTTTTAAAATATATATAACATGTAATATATACATGTATATATATATATTACTCTATTTGTGTGTATGTTTTGTGTGTGTCTCTGTGTGTGTGTGGGGGGGTGTGTAGGCCAGAGGAAAATGTAAGTTATCTTTTTTAATCACTTCCCATCCTTAGTTTTTCTTTTTTTAAAAATTTATTATTTTTATTTTATGTGTATGCGAGTATTGCCTGCATGTAGATAAGTACACCCGTGTTGTGCAATGCCCACAGAGGTCAGAAGAGGCTGTTGGATTCCCCTGGGACTGGAGTTATGGACAGTTGTTAGCTGCCATGTGGGTGCTGGGATTTGAACCCGGGTCTTCTGCAAGAACAACCAGTGTTCTTAACTGCTGAGCCATCTCTCCAGCCCCCACCTTTAGTTTTTCTTTTGAGACAAGATCTCTCTGCAGCCCCAACTGGCCTGGAACTCATTATATAGACCAGGTAGCCTTGATCTCACAGAGATCTGCCTGCCTCTGTCTTATGAGTGCTGGTATTAATGGCATGCACCACTGTGCCTGGCTACTATATTACTTTTAAAATCTGATATAAGGGGGTGGAGAGGTGGATCAGCAGTTAAAACCTTGCTGCTCTTGCAGAGGACCCATGCTCAGTTCTCAGCATTTGTATTGGGCAGCTCACAATAGCCTGTCACTCTAGCTCCAGGGGTCCCAATGCCCTCCTGTGGCCTCTGGGAGCACCCACACATATGTGGTATATACATGAAGAAACAGATATACATATAAATAAAAAATAAAAATAAGCTGAAAAACTGACATAATTGTTGTTTCCCCACAAGAATAAATGACAAGATATGATGTGAATTCAAAAGATATTTTTTCCAGGAAATTTGGCTGGTATGAAAAAAAGCGAGGGCACAGCCAGAGGGGAGTGGGAGGAGGCGTTCTGGGGCAGCTGCCACTGTTTCGCAGCAGTCACATATCCCCGCATTGACTGGATGATGTCTCATTTAATGCTCAGATCTGTCAAGATTACCTCCATTCTATAACAAAGAAACTAAGATTCAGCATCACTATTTAACATGCTCGTCTGCAGCTATACACTGTGGGGTGGCGGAACCAAGATTACGCTTTAGATCTGTCTTGTGTCATATTCTCCCCTTTCCAGCTCTGTTCTGCATTCAGCTTGAGGCTTGAATTAGAAGTGCCTTTGGACTTGCAGAGAGGAGCATCACTTTGGTATTCAAGAACATACCCTTGAAGCTCAGAACAGGGCTGGGATTAGAACAGATGTTTAAAAGGCATCTACACAGGAGAGTACTGAAGCCATGAGACGGAAGGAGCACTTAAAGAGGCTACAGGGAGGCCTCTGTCAAGACCTCACATGGCACCCCAAGGCACACACAGCAGTCAAGGGTCAGGAAGAGGAAGAGCTAAAAGGGGGATTTACCATAAACATTCAAAGTATGAAAAGGAAAACGGGAATCTAGCTCAGCAGGTCACAGGTCCAATGAGTGCAAGTACCAAGCCTACCAGACCCATCTCTACACCTGCACAGTCCAGTGTTGGTACTGTGTCAAGGACACACGATAAATTCTTGAGTTCACCGCCAGTTAGCATAGAGACTGAAGGAGAACATTTCCAGGAGAATATTCAAGAACATTAAAAGCTTTTGAAGGGGTAAGGAAAGACAAGGCTTGGGACATTGATTAGACAAGGAAGTCTGCTTGTCTAAGTCACAGTAAGAACAATGCACAGAGCAACTGGGCAAAAGTCAGACTACTGCATTCATCAGTCCCCAGAAGTAAGAAAGCAGGAGGGTAGGAGGGATGGCTCAGCAGGCAAAGAAGTTTGCTGCCAACCCTGTTGAGCAGAGCTCAGTCCTCAGAACTCACATGGTGGAAGGAGAGAACGGACTCACAGTCCATGTGTGGAGGTCTGAGAACAATTTGCAGGAGTCAGTTCTCTCCTTCCACCTGCTCTTAAAGGACCAGCTTCATGTCCCTCTACCTTCATGGCAGCTAATAACTGTCCTTAACTCCAGTTCCATGGGATTCAGCACCCTCACCTGGCCTCTGTAGGCCTTGCACATATGGGTGCACTTTCATACATGCAGGTAAAACATTCATATACATAAAATAAAATAAAAAATTTAAAAACATACTTCCAAGTGATGGCCACTAGGTGGTGCAAATATTCTGTAGGACTTAAACTAAATGACCTGGACACCCAAAGGTTTAAGGAAAATTCCCAAAGAAATTAAACTTCCTGCCTGTAGGAAAAATGGAAAATTTTGTGTGTGCAATTGGGGACAAGGATGGTCTATATACACGTTTGTCGTTTTATGTTTTGTTCAGCACAGATGTCTTGAATTGTATCTTTTCCAGATACTTCAGCCCAGATCAGCAGCATCCTCCCCATGGCTAACTGGCACTTGGGCTGATGATGGAGGTGACAGTGTCCTAAGTTCTCACAGTCCTAAAGCCGATGCAACTCTAATATTGCTAAGGACAAACTATATTGGAAAAGTACTACAAAAAAATTCTATTTCTCAGACACCGGAAGCATGAAAATAATCCAACTTCTCGTCTAATATTCAAGAAACTTTTCCTATGTGATAACAAGTACTTACTTGAATTAGGGGGCCAGGACTCCCGGTATTCAGTACTTGCCTGAGTTCTGGGCAACTTGCCCCGAACCTGGAGAGCCACACAGAAGTCATAAAAGTTATTTATGATCAATGGAAGGATTTAACCAAGCAATTTAAATCATAAACGAGCACCTAAATGTATGTACTTTTGTACCACATTGTCTACAATGCATGAAATTTAACATATTCACCGTGATAATAGTCATGTACATTTATAAAAGGCTTTCTATGCATTTTCCATACATTTCCTCATCCAAGTCCAAGCTATTCTGGAGGGAAGGAAGAGCAGAGTCCCTGGGGAGACAAGAACCACAATGCCTTACACAGCTACATGGCTGCTGAGAGCAAGTCACCACAAATTCCTTCCCTGGATTGTCATGCCACAACAAACAGCTGGCTCCACTGAGATGAAAACCAGAGGGAAGACCAACTGTAACCAGGGTCTTGTATCTTTATTGCTGCCTTCATATAAATGAGAAGTCATCAGCTAAAGCTACCTAGGAGCTTGCCTAAGCAAGATGTCATGGATATTGTCAACTTGACACATATGGGAAGAGGGAACCTCAATTGGGGAATTTCCTCTATTGGACTGGCCTTTGGCCATAGTGATGTGGGAGGGAGGGCTCAGCCCACTGTGGGTGGTGCTACCCCTGGGCTGGTGGTCTTGGGTTGTATAGAAAGCAAGATGAAGTTCGGCGTGGTGGTGCACGCCTTTAGTCCCAGCACTAGGGAGGCAGAAGCAGGAGGACCTCTGTAAGCTCAAGGTCACCCTGGTCTACATGGTAAGTTCCAGGCCAGCTGGGGCTATGGGGAGACCCTGTCTCAAAAAGACTTAAAAAAGAAATAAAGGAGGGAGGGAGGGAGGGAGGGAGAGAGAGAAAGAAAAATAAAGAAACAAAGAAAGAAAAGAAACAAAGAAAGATGAGCACAAGCCAAAGGAGCGAAGCAGTAAGCAGCATTTCTCCATGTTCTGTGCTTGAGTTTCTGCCTCCAGGTTCTTTCCCTCAGTTCCTGTCCTGACTTCTCTCAATGATGAACTTCGATCAGGATGGGTAAGGCAAATACACCATTTCCTCCCCAAGTTGGGTTTGGTCAAAGGACACAAGACATCACAGTATTACCTTCCTTTCTTGTTTCTTCTGTGTCTCCATGACATGCAGGCGCTCCATGAGGCTAGAGATGCCTTGCTCCAAGCTGTCAATGGTGTGATGCTGAGGATCATGGCCACTGAAGCTGTTTCGCAGGCTCCGGAGAGCATCTCGGACGAGCTGGAGGTCACTAGTCTGTGGGTAAAAGGAAGGTGCTGATGGTTTATTTGTCCTATCCCAGCCACTGTGCTAAAGAAGATGAAGGAAAAATACTCCTAGAACAGAGGTTTTACTTGTTGAAAGGAAATTTTTCCTCCTCAGATGCATGTTTAATGTTTGTCCACTAATTAATTCTTAATTCTGGATAGCTAATGCACCTGTATATACCCATCACCTGTTAGCTGCAAGAATTGGTTGCCTGGAATATAAAAGGCTTAGTCTGCTGGTACTGGCCAGACACTGTTTCCAGCCTGTACTCTAGTCCTAGGAACTTACCCCTCTGTGGGTGACAGAAGCAGCACCCTTCCCTGTCACTGGAAGGAGAAAGCCATTGCTTTGAGAGCTGTGACTGTTGTAGTTGGTCACCTAGAGCAGCAAGAAGAAATGATGTTTGTTAATGGGAGAATTCCAAACCAAGACACCCTGTCTTATTTTCCTTCTTTACACTGATACAGTATATAATTATTTGCTAGTTTAATATTTCTTTGGGGGATTTATTTACATTCGTTTTGTGTTTTGATATAGTGCACCCATGCATGTAATGCCTGCAGAGGCCAGAAGAGGGCATCGGATCAACTGGAATTACCACAGTTGTTAGCTGCCATACAGGTGCTAAGAACCAAACCCAGGTCCTCTGCAAGAGCAGCCAGTGCTCTTAACCACTGAGCCATCTCTCCAGCCTCTACTTTAATATTTCTATCAAAAGTTTCATGTAGGGGCTGGGGATATGACTCATGGTGTAAAAGTACTAGCTGCACAAGCCTGACAGACTGAGTTCGAGCCCCAGACCCCACATAAGAAGCCAAATGAGGGGATGTAACTCTAACCCCAGCACTCCTACAGTGAGATAGGAGGTAGAGATAGAATAGGCCAGAAACTCACGGGCCAGCTAGCCTGAAGAACGCAGTATAGCAGTAAAAACAAGAAAGACCCTGCCTCAACAAGGTAGGTGAGAACTGACTGCCTAAAGTTGTTCTTGGACCTGCACATGTGTGCTGGGAACACATGTGAACACACACACCAATTTTTAAAATATTTTGTCTATTATTTTTATTTATGTGTATGAGTGAATTGACTGTATATATTTAAGCGCACTCTTGTTGTGCAATATCCAAGAAGGTCAGAAGAGGGTGTTAGATTCCCCTGGAACTGGAGTTACAGACTTGTTAGCTGCCATGTGGGTGCTGAGAATTGAACCTGGGTCCTCTGCAAGAGCAGCCTCTGCAAAAGCAGACAGTACTCTTAAGTACTGAGCCATCTCTCCAGCCCCAGACATACCAAATTTTTTAAAAATTAAACATGGTATGTACAGATGTGATTTCTGCTTTTTCCACTGCTGCATCAAAATTATATTTGACAGTGACCATTGTGGCTGCAAAATGAATGAAGCCTCAAAGTCCCCAGCCTAGTCTCTGCCACAGCCACTGGTGGGCCACAAACTGCCACTCCAGCACCTCCTTTCTTTGCTTCAGTAATTAAAAATGTAAGAGAGAGCCAGGCGTGGTAGTCCAAGCCATTATTTCCAGCACTTTGGAGGCAGAGGCAGGCAGATCTTTGTGAGTTCAAGGCCAGCCTGGTCTACACAGTGAGTTCCAGTCCAGCTGGGGCTACAGGGAGACCCTGTCTCAAAAAACAAAAAAATGTAAGAGAGCCTAGTGTGGTGGAGTATACATTTAATCCCAGGATTCAGGAGGCAGAGACAGGCAGATCTCTTTAAATTCAAAGCTACCTTGGTCTACACAATGATTTCCAGGCCAGTCCAAGGCTACATAGTAAGACCCTGTCTTGAAATAAACAAATAAATAAATAGGACTAATAAGTATATCCTGAACCAGACTTTGTGCTAGGTGACTCTAGTAAGACTGTGCTCAGTTGCTTAGGTAGTTAGCTATTCATGTGGACTATGATGTAACCTTCATAGAGAGGTCATCATTATTTCCATTTTCAGATAAGCCTTCTTTCTAAAGCTCAGAAGCTAAGTGCTGGCCCTCCCAAGTTCTGGGGAATGAACTCAGAGCCTTCAGTATACCAGGCAAGTGTTCTACCACTGAGCTACATGCCCAGCCCTTGGAACCTGCACTTAAGCTCCTCGAAATAGGGACTCCTAACAAATAGGCTGGTGGCCTTGGTGACAAACAGATTCTCTCTTTGCCCTGAAATATGAGAGGGAAAACTCAAGTCCTAGGTTACCTCATCTGCCTCTCTTTTCATACAGTGAGCCAAAAGGACGTCTTTGTGTTCTAGCTCCCGTTCTAGATCCACCTGTTAAACACAGATTCAATCAGTCAAGATTTTCCCTTCAGGCCAAAGGGCTATACAGGTCAGTGACTGACACTGTTCTGACCTGCTGGTAACTGGCATCCGAGAGTTTCCGGTGTGCTTCTTCCAACCTGGCCTGCTGCTGCTGAAGGAGGCGATCCTTCTGTCCCAGTTCTTTCTACAATGGAGATAAGTTTTCAGACATGTAGCTCAACCAATCAAGGACATCAAAGAGTTCATACTTTGCAGTGCAACTTACACCCTGAAGAGTAGAACCTCGGGGAGACAGGCCTTTCCTCACAGCATACCTGGAAAACTCTCCTCACCATGATAATCTTACCTAATGCCAAGACTCTTAGAAGGACAAAGAGGGTGTAAACTGCCATTGTAGGAGGAGCGCCCTGGGCCATCCTCGCTACTTAGAGACAGAGGTAAGCCTACCACTGAAGTTTCCAGACTCCTAGGTCTATGCTTCTTTCCCCAGCTGTGTTATCTACTCTTCAGGCTTAACAAATCAAGGGAGGTGGGAAAAGACTTCAGAAAGCAGAGATGAGCGTTGAATAGCAAAAGGTCAGATGGAAGCCATTTTCAAGCTGATTTTCATTCTTACTTTATATTCTCCTAATAGCTTGTTCCTCTCCTCTAGCTTCCTCTGCAGATCCACCTGTAAAGAAGCAATTAACCCTCATGGAAAACAGCTACTTGATAACCAGAATTAATGGACAGCTATAGAGGGTGTGGTCACGATAAAAAAAAATGCACAGCTGTTCTCCAAGTCTTCAGCAACATAACCAGACCATAGAAACACACTTTAACTTTAGTGTCCTCAAAGCTGAAGGAGTCAAGGACCTTTATGCCCAGCGTACTGCAGGCTTTTCCCTAAGAACTGAACTTCACAGGACAAAAATAACTGTAGACAAGGAATGTAGGCAGCCCAGGAACAAAGGGAGTTTAAAGGGCAGATCTGACAGCATGCACGTGGTGTCCTATTTGGCTACTGGGGCCCACTGAGGTTAAAGCTCACACAGTTAACCCACATTCTGGTTATGCAGCTCATCTCTGTCCATATTTGCTCTTAGGAGTTCTTGTTTGAGCTGAAGAACAGATGTGTCCTGCTGAGTCAACCTCTGCTGCAAAGCATCCTAGGGGAAAAAAGGACACTCACTATTGTGGTCTTGACTCATCCACCAGCCAGTTATTACTACTTAACTCTTGACTGTAGACCCAACACTAGCTCTGGTAAACTGGAAGACAAAAGAAATATATATATATATTGCCACAAAGACTTGAGGAGAGATTGTTGTGTCCTCTTCCAAGACATAGTCATCTGAAGGAAAATCTTATCCACTGTCCTACTAAGCTGGGAGGAACCTGATTTTCCCTCTATACACTGCTCATCCCTACCCTATACACATTCCAAATAGCATGGTGTCCTAATCAGATAGCAAGGGAGCTGTTTTTGAGACCAGACAGACCTACATTTGAATTTTAAGTCCACCACTTCCCACTTTCACCAAATTGACCTTGAACAATATGCTTTCCCTCCTTCCCACCTGGTTTCCTCATCCACTTCTTGGGTATATAAATAGCCTGCTGGCTTAGTGCCTTCTCCTCTCCCTGCCCAGTCCCCATTTCCTAGAGGGATGGTCTGCCCCTGCTCACCAACCACTCTGGTCTAGAGTCACTGGAGTCTCTCCTACTCATTCCTGTCCTGCTTCCACTGGCTCCCAATGCCCTGACTGGACCAACACTGGGACTGTATTTCTGCTGCTGAGAACTGTTCTTTAACTGATGGTTCTTCTCGGTTTCCTAGTGTCCTACTCGCACTTCAGGGTGTCTTTTCCTTCAGTGTGGATCCTCAAGAAAATGTAGGCTGATGTTTATACTTGTAAGGGTCATCTGGAACACAGTTCTCCAACTGTGGGGACTCCATATTGAATTGATGGCCTGGGGCTACAGTCTACTATATTTTTTTCTGTTTTTTTCTCTACGGATTGCAAAGAAATGGTTTAAGCTCTGGAGAATATAAGAGTTTTATTCTTTTGCTTGTTTGCGACAGGATCTCTGGGTAGCATGGACTGGCTCTGAACTCATGATCCTCTTACTTTAGCCTCCAAAATGGTGGGATCAGGCCTGGTGTGGTGGCATATACCTTTAATCCCAGCACTCCAGAGGCAGAGGCAGAGGTAAGCATATTTCTGTGTGTTCAAGGCCAGCATAGTCTACATAGCAAGTTCCAGGACAGCCAGGGCTACTTGGTGAGACCCTGTCTCAAAAAAAAAAAAAAAAAAAAAAACACAATGACACCTGAGGCTGTCCTTTAGCTCTACACACATGCACACATACCTGCATACACAGGGTATACTTGCATACACACAAATGTGCACACATACATACACATACAATTGTTTCATGTGCATAGCTGTGCAACAGTGGGGAGAGGTGTCTGTCATTGTCTTAGCTTTAACTGTTAACCTGACACAGCCTAGTAACCCGAGGAGAGTCTCAATTGAAGTATTACCCAGATTGGATTGGCCTGTGGGCTGTCTGTGGGGGACTGTCTTGATTGTTAATCGATGTAGGAGGGCCTAGCCCACTGTGGGCAGCAGCATTCCTAGGCAGGCCCAGGCTGTATAAGAAAGCTGAGTACAAGCTGACCTGTGAGGCAGCTAGCAAGCAGCATCCTCTACCTTTCCTGCTGTACCTCTTTGGCTGTGGAGTTCCTTGGCTGGAGGTAATGCTGTATAGAATAGCAATCAGGCCTGCCTCCAAGTTCCTGCTTGAGTGCTTGCCGAGTTCCTTCAGTGATGAGACTGCAACCTGTAATTGAAATAAGCACTTTTGTCCCCTAAGTTGCTTTTGGTCATATTTTTCACAGCAACAGAATGAAAACTAGAGCAGTCACTACAGTCAGGCAAAAGATGGTGTAACTTAGTGGGGGAAAGGGAGACACCCACTGGATTTGTCATAGGACACTGCAGACTGGTGATTGGTGGATGCAACATTGATGTTATTAATCTCCTGAATCATAGTGTCCTTATTTGAGAAGCAGAAATTATATTGCCTCTGTTGATACAAATGTTATTGTGCGGACAAAAGAGGCGGTCAGATCCCCTGGAACTGGAGTTATGGACAGTTCTTAGCTGCCACGTGGGTGCTGGGATTGAAACCCGGGTCTTCTGCAAGAACAACCAGTGTTCTTAACTGCTGAGCCATCTCTCCAGCCCCTTTATAGTGTTTTGTTGTTGTTGTTGTTGTTGTTTTGTTTCATTTTGTTTTTTGGTCTTTTTGAGACAGGGTCTCCCTGTAGTCCCAGCTGGCCTGGAACTCACTATGTAGACCAGGCTGGCCTGGAACTCACAAAGATGTGCCTGCCTCTGCCTCCCAAGGGTTTGATTTATTTTTTATGTATGAGTGTTTTGCATGCATGTAAGTACACCACATGCATGAAATGCCTTTGAAAGTCAGAAGAGGGTGTCAGAGTCCCTGAACTGGAGTTATTGATGGTTGTTAGCCTCCATGTGGGTGCTAGGAACTGAACCCCAGTCCTCTGCAAGAGCAATCAGTATTCTTAACCTCTGGGCTATCTCTGCAGTACATTTGTACAAATTTAAAAATCATTTTTAAAAGAGAAGAATGTTCAGATGATATAATCCCATTTGGGTAAAAGAACAAATATTTAAGGTTATTAGCTCAATCATTGTATTAGAAAAACAGTTCCAAAAAAGGAAGCTAACCTAAAATACCATCAGTAGGAGACGGATTAAATATATCATCATATAGATACACTAGACGATTATGCAGCTATAAAGAAGACCTAAGAAAGGTCTTAAATAAAACAATTTACAAAACATATTTCTAAGTAAAAAAAATTAAGATGCCAACTGTAGTTATAGTATACTATCGAGTAAAAAGTGGGAGAAAATGATGAACACATACATTTGATAACTGATAAGTTGCCTCCAGGAAAAAGACCTAGACAGCTGGTTGGGATACAGGGAGGCAGAGTTGGCAAGCAAACTTTCATGGTCTGTCCTTTTGTGTCTTCAACCATTCCAAAGTTGTTACATTTCTTTTTCCTAAAAAGGGCATTCTTTGGAACTGAGAGAGAACTTTACACATGGAGGTGACACAGGCAAGTGACAGCACCGTGAATCACAACCACAGACAGAAGCCACAGCGAAACAAAGATATATTCCTCAGCATGTCTCTCTTCCCCACCACAAAGCCCTTTCTAGACCCCTAGCAAAGAGCTGTTAAAGATGCTTAGCAAATCCTGATAGTCCTCTTTGTGCCCTGTTCTCACCAGACACCAATAAGCCACTTTACTTCACAGAGGCTTTATTTCTAGAATTCAATGTCTTCCTTTTACCTTTATCCCCTGCAAGTTTCTGGCTTCTTGTTTGCATTTCAGCAGCTCTTTCTGCAAACCAAATATAGTGAGATCAGATGGTGCCATCTGGGTTGCTTTATAAGCATTACCTCACTCTGTCAGCAAGACAAAACCCAGTTGGCCATTCCATGAAAGATTAACCCTCTACCAAGGTATAAAGCAGATGAGGTCCAATAAGCAGAAAAGGCTGACCCACAGAAATAAGAACAAGACCCGTTCTGTTCTTGGTGGCACCCCCACTGAGATGCCCAGGTAGAGAAGAGTCTTGCCAAGAAAGACACCTCATCCAGTTCCACAGGCTCTCTCTATGTAGTAGTCTTCACTAAGAGGAAAATGGAATCAAATTATCTAAATCTCCATCACTCAAATACATGCTATGCCTAGCCCCAATGTCATTAAATAATCATCTCAGTTTTATTTAAGTTCAACAAAAGGTTGGGATGCTTCTGATTCCCCAAGGGTCTATTTTTCTTTGTGGACTGGGGCTATTGTTCTTTGTGGACTGGGGCTATTGTTCTTTGTTATCCAAACAAAAACACAATTGATTTCATGATGGAAAACTGAGTGATTAAATTTCCATATATGTGATTGCAACTAAAAAAGAGATTTGAGAAAAAGAATACCCGCTACTGAGACTTAGCTCTTTTCCTGTTACATCACATAAACAATTTGTAATTAACATATCAAATATGGGATTCATAACCTGGACTCCAACAGATGGGCTCAAAATGATCAAAACTCAGGTCTGGGTGTGTACGCAGGCTCACATGCCCATTTCTGGGGAGAAGATCAGTGGCTTTAGCCCGACATATGCAGCCAAGTGCTCTAATACTCAGCTAGCCCCCATCTCATATGCCTATAATTTAATTTTTTGTTTTGTTTTTTTATTTTCTTGTAATACTGGAGATGGATCCAGAATTTTGCACATACTAGGCAAGTGCTCCACATCTGAGCTATATCCCCAACCCTGACTCAAAATGAATAAACAAAACCAAAAAACACTGACCTAAAAGAATTCTAGAAGTATTTATTTAAAAAGGACCACATTGATACTCAATTCATTTTCCCCTCCCAATTAAAAAAAGAAATCTAGAAATATTTCAAACATATAGAAAGGGATCATTAAAAATGACATAGGTAACTACTAGTTAGCATTAAGATTAAAAAGCTGTCACCTTTGTGATGTAGTTCAGATGGACCTCTCTCTTCCAATTAAAGGCATAAACAGATACAGATACAGATACAGCTAACCTCCTGGTCCTGCATCCCTCCTTTCCCTCCCAAGAATTGTTCCAAAGTATGTACATAACATTCCCATAATTATTTTCAAAGGGTAAAATGTACATGTCTGGGGGCTGGAGAGATGGCTCAGCAGTTAAGGGCACTTACTGCTCGTCCAGAGGATCCGGGTTGGGCTCCTAGCACCATATCAGGTGACTCACAACCACCTGTAACTCCAATTCCAGGGGATCTGACACCCTCTGCCCTCTGTGGACACCCGCACTCACATACATGCATACTGTGCATATAAACTCATGCAGGCACACAAAATATCCTTGCATACCTTAAGGTCTTGATTCTCCTCCATACTCTGATCCAGACGACTCTGGATTATAACCTGAATATAAGACAGAAAGAAGACAGTCATGCACCTATGAGGTCAAGTTCATAGGCCATTTGTTCAACAAATACTTACTGAGCACCTACTAAATACCACTTCTGATCTGGGACATAACACATGCCCTCTGATACAAGCATGTGCCCAAAGTGCATCACATAAGACAATATGGATAGAATCTGGGGGATATATGTGTACTGAAAATAGAGGATGGAGTCAAAGGAAGAAGAAATGGCCAGAGATGAAGTTGGAAAGGAAAATGGGGGCCACATTGTGAAGGGCTGATGAGGCCAATGGGGAATCAATGCAAAGTTTTATGCAAAGGGAAAACAAAATGAAATTTGCCTGAATTATTCCTGCTGTTTTATTGAAGATGAACTAGAAGAAGTTAGAAGAGGAATCAAAAATCAGCAAAACCTGATGGGAGTTTAAGACCTGAATTAAACAGTGACTGTGCAAAGAGACACTGGACATGAGTGGAAGGTAAGAAAGAATTCAAGGATGCTATCTAGTTTTCTGTTCTGGGCATCTGAGTAAATGGGGACACATAGTTTCAGTGGTTAGGTAGAGAACAGAAAAACTATTTAGTTGAAGACTCAATTGACACTGCCATGCATATAGGAGCTAATAATGGAGACCATCAGCAGGCAGTTGCATATTGTACATACACATCTAGAACTCCATAGAGGTTTGAGCGGCTAATACATCTGTATGAATTGAAGTAGGTGGGGAATGCTTGAAGACATGGAGGCATTTAATACTGCCCACTGCCCAGTGACTATGTAAGACTGATCAGGGCCCAGACTGGGACACAAGGGAGAACCCATGTTATGACATAGAAAAAAGAAAAGCTTCAAAGGGGGCCTGACCATAAACTCCACGGGGGTCATGACCATATCTGTAGCCCTTTGAATCAGTGCCTGACTCAGAGTCAACACTCAATGGACATCTATTGATTGATTGAAAGAATGAAGAAACCAGGATGGAACAATCTAAAAGGTCAGACAAACCTCAGGGGGAGTTGGAGTCAGGAAAGAGACCATTTCAAGACAGCAAGGTCAAGTGCTAAAATGAAGTTAAATACACAAACTAGATCTAGCATCTGGTCATAGAAGATGGCGCTCACCAGCTGTTCCTCAGGATTGACTCCTGGTTCACAGAGGGCCAAGGGTCTCTCCTGTTCATCTTCAGGTAAGGATCCATTGAGCAGTAAGGCCTGAATAAACCACAAACGGAGAAAGAAACTCAACTCCCTGCCACCTGATCCAGTCCAGAGTTAGGCTTGGTAAATTCACCACAAATTGAAATCACCATCTGGTTTTGTTTAGAAACATGCTTGGTGATTTTGGCTCCTCAGATGCCTCTACTGGTCCTGTTCATGTCTAGCTCCTTCTGTGAGACCCATATTATAGGCCTCTTTTGTTTGTTTATTTTTGCTTTTTGACACAGGGTGCCATGTATCCCAGGTTAGCCTCGAACTTCTATACGGCCAAGGATAACTTTGAACTTCTGATCCTCCTGACTCCACCTCCCAGATGCTGGGATTACAGGCACATGTCACCAATCCTGGTTTATGTGGTACTGAGGCTAGAACTCAGGGCCCCTAAAAGTTACACACTCTACCAATGAACTACATCCCTGGCCCCTGGACTGTTTTTATGTCTTTGCACATCCATAAACCCTCTATTGCAAGCTTCTTGGCCCCAGAAGAAAATCTAAAAACAAACCTCCCCTTCAGAAGTGTCCAAACACATTTTAAACTAGAGCTGCACAAATTTAGTTCTACTAGCTGAAAGGGGATCTAAAAGCAGTGTGGAATTACTGGCTAAGACAAGTGTATTTTCTTTTCTTTTTTTTTTTTTTTTTTTTTTTTTTTTTTTTTTGGTCTTTTTGAGACAGGGGCTCCCTGTAGCCCCAGCTATCCTGGAACTCACTATGTAGACTAGGCTGGCCTTGAACTCACAGAGAGCCGCCTGCCTTTGCCTCCTGAGTGCTGGGATTAAAGGCGTGCGCCACCATGCCCAACCCAATCTTATTCTTTTTTAACATTTTATTTTTTTTGAGTGAAAGTGCTTCTATGTGGATGTACCTGTGTGCAGTGCATGTACGGAAGTCAAAGGATAACTTGCAAGAGTCAGTTCTCTCCATCCAGTAAGTGGGTCCCAGGGATTGAACTCAGGTTATCAAGCTTGGCAGTAGGTGCCCTTAGCTGCTGAACTATCTTTCTGGCCCTGTAATCTTATTTTTTTTTCTTTTATTTTTTTAAAAATATTATGTGTATGTATATGTTTTTCTATGTGGATATGTGCATGTTAGTAGGGATGCCCACGGAGCTGGAATTACAGGCAGTTATGAGTGGGTGCTGGGAACAAACTTAGATCCTCTGCAAGAGCAGTATGTGCTCTTAACCACTAAACATCTCTCTAGCCCCATGATGTTTTTCTTTTTTCTCTCTCTTTTTTTTTTTTTTTTTTTTGGTCTTTCTGAGACAGGGACTCCTGGCAGCCCCAGCCAACCTGGCTCTTACTATGTAGACCAGGCTGGCCTCGAACTCACAGAGATCTGCCTGCCTCTGCCTTTCAAGTGCTGGGATAAAAGGCATGTACCACCACACCCAATGGGGAATGTTATTCTTTTTTATTATTATTTTTATTGTATGTGTATGAGTGTATTGCCTGCATGTATGTGAGCGCACCCATGTTATGCAATGCCATGGTGGTCAGAATAGGACTTCTGATTCCCCTGGAACTGGAGTTAAGGACGGTTCATAGCTGCCATGTGGGTGCTGGGAATCAAACCTGGTCCTCTGCAAGAGCAGTCAGTGCTCTTAACCACTGAGTCATCTCTCCAGCTCCTGGGGAATGTTATTCTTAAAACATCTTCCCCATATACTTTGTGGTTCCCAAAATTTAAATCATCCTACTCAGGTAGATACGAGACAAATCAGCTGAGTGAAAAACTGAAAAATCTTTCCCTATTTTATGTCACAGTTCTGTCTCAACTTGAAAAGATAGCTTCAAAGGTTAGATCCTGTTTTAATAAATACAACACAGATTCATCACACCTGTTGATAATGTTTTAAAACCCAGCCAATGGTTTATCTACTAAACACTTATAATCAAATTATAGAAAAATCTATTGAATTTGGTTAACCCATGGAAACAGTACAGCCACATATACAGCAACAGGGCTGCAGGGAACACCACAGAAATAGTGATTCTAGCGGGAAATTGTTCTTCGGGCTCTAAGTAAGCATACTAAGTCACAAATCCTTGATGTGGCTTAGTATGAAGCTTGTTCATCACCAAAAGAGGAAGTCCAATGGATGCTATGAGCCCTTTTGTGTTCTACAATGAGACTGAATTCTCATTGTGATCATGTGGCTAGGAATTAAAATGCCTCTGTTTGCAGGGTAGAGTAGGATGCTGACTTTCTGCCTGTCAGTTTTATTTATTTTATTGTTTTCATACGTCACTGAATTTCTCCCAGACTAAAAGAACACCAACCAAGCTGAGAACCAAACTGATAGAGACCCATGCCTTGTTCACATAATGCAAATCATCCCGGGAGAAACCTGGGTAAGTATAATCCTCAAATTTATGGAACACTTCCAATTAAAGCAAAAAGAAAAAGAATCATTAAGATATTTCTTAATGGAGTGGCAGAAAGGGATCCAAAAGATTTTTGTTTTTAATACAGAGTAAAAGAACTGATACCATCAAGGATGGTAATGGTTAGGTTGTAAACATTCCTCTAAGTCTTCTAGGTTCCTAAGGCATACGTTATGCAAATTATTCTACACAAGCTCCAATCTCCTCTTTTCCTTAGGGACCCTTTGTGTCCCCACCCTTTTGCTGGCTGACTGGGAGCATGCCTTCCATGCCGGCTGGCTGCCAAAGACACACACATAATGTGGGCTTTGTTTACGTGTCCATAAATATTTCACAATTCAGAAGCAGTGCAGTTCCCAGCTCAAATAGAAAAGAATATCCGTAGGCAATTTCAGGGTCATCAGCATACTACAAGGGCTCCCCCAAACAGAGTCAGTTGCACAAAAACCAAGGATAGAGGGGGTCATCTGGGGTGGGTACCATGTCAAGTGGGTCAGCCAGTCTCTGGGGGAGATGTGCCAAGCTGATATGGTAGGTACAGGAACAACTAAAGGGCTTTGTTGCTCAAGGAAAACTTCTACCAACTTATACTTTGGTGTACACTTGCAAATGCATCAGGAGTGAGCCAGTCCCTTAGCAAGATGGTCCCTTAGCTGCATTCCAGTGGGAACTTGGCGACATTACTACCTCTTCTACCCATCCAGCTGGAGAATTCCCAGGAGAGCCTCTCTGCTGAAAGTTGCAACTGCAGGACTGTAACTAAGTAAAAGACAGACAACCACCTGTGAAGCATAGTGAGGGTGTGATAGGGGTCAGTAAGAGCGTCTGAGCTTGCAGAAATCCTAACAGCTGCACTGTAAACAAGAGTCCACAAAGCCCTTGTAAAGCATTCGCAAATAAGAAATTCTTGTTCTTTGTATACTTCTCATACAAAACTAAAATTGGGCTTTTTTTTTAAACTGATACTAATGACTTAAAAGGAATAATTAACAGGTGCACCAAGAAGGAAGTACAAAGGAAAGAGCTACCTGGAGTCCCGATATCATTTTCTTTGCTTCCTCCATTTCTTTTTCTAAATGTTCTTGTTGCTCCAACAGCTGTTCTTCCCACGAGGTCTCTAGACAGGTTCCTGGGCTCGTCAGCCTCCAGTCTCGGGATAATGGAGAGTCTGTCTCCTCTGCAAAATGAAAGGAGGGAGCATAGTCCATGTTGAAGAAGAGTGATTTCTGGCAGAGCATGCCCAGTGTAATCCACAGCTTCAGGTCATCTGCCTTCTGAACCTGTCTTTACTGACACACTGCACCCTCCACCAGGTGGGGTTGTGAGGCAGAAAGAACAGGTTCTGGGAAGCACCACAAAGGGTGGGGAAGTCCATCTTCAACTCTTAGGAAACAGATGCCTACCATTATAGACTTGGTACAGGACACAGACTTTACTCCTAATTCCCTGGAGATGCCATTCCCAGAGCCTGATTTTGCCAGGTATAAGTAAAGGAACAGTCAGAAAACAGAATCCCTGTTGGTAACTCAGGAAATTTAGACAGGAGACCAGACTATGCTTCAATACATTGCTTCGACTCTTTTGAATTAAAACTGAACTCCTTTTGCACATAGCATTGTGGGGAATCATACAGAAACAAGCTAGTAAAGCGTACTTAGAAAGCTGTTTAACATTACTTCCTGGTTTTCCTTACCTCTTAAGACCTCTTTACTCTGGTGTTTTTAACTGCTTTATCCCACTTATAGGTATTATCAGTTAAAATGCATTATGGAACACAGAAGGACATAGACTCTGAGTAAGTTCAATTCATCTGAGTTGTGGTAAAGATGGAAAGAATTAACATGTACAGGGCCTGGTACTATGTGACTCAGTGTAAGCACTCTTAAATAAATATTCTTTCTTCCCTCTCCACAGCTCTAGGAGTTTCTGACTCAGTGGGATTATTATTATTATTATTTTGGAGACACAGTCTCACTGAGTAGCCCAGGCTGATCTGGAACTCACTAGGTAGCCTAGTTGGTCTCAAACTTGTGATCCTCCTGCCTCCACCTCCTAAGTTCTGGGATTACAGATGTGTACCACCATACCCATCTATGACTGACTGGTACAAATGCTAAGGATGAGGGGAAGAACTGAAAGAGGAGTTTAATTTCAGTTTTTCTTTTGAGGGCTTTTGTTTCATAACAACCCTTATGGATACATGAATTTCAATCTAACTCTTTTTTAAAAATATTTTTGTTTTATGTGTATGAGTCTATTGCCTGTATATATGTGTGTGTGCGTGTGTGTGTGTGTGTGTGTGTGTGTGTGTGTGTGTGTGTAAGTGCACCATGTAGTACAATACCCTCAGAGGTCAGAAGAGGGCGTTGGATCCCCTGGAACTAGAGTTAGGACAATTGTTAGCCACCATGTGGGTGCTGGTGCTCTTAACTGCAGAGTTATCTCTCCAGCCCCCTCAATCTAACTCCTGTATCTGCTTCATCCATGCTTCTCTTTAGGTTTAAGTATGAGGAGAAAAAAAAAAAAAGAAGAAGACAGAAGAGACAGACCAAGAAGCTTAAACAAAGAGAAGTCTGGCTCTTTCTACAGTCCTCAGACCAAGACCTGTTCTCTGCACGCTCTCACACACACTTTAGTTCTTATGATATATTCCTGGACCCAATTTATGTTAGAAAAGTAACAATGTTATTTGTATAAAAGGAATATTAGGAGCTGGAGAGATGGCTCAGTGGTTAAGAGCACTGACTGCTCTTACAGAGGACCCAGACTCGATTCCCAGCACCCACATGGTGGCTACGAACTGTTCTTAACTCCAGTTCCAGGGGAATCTGAAGCCCTCTTCTGACCTCCGCGGCACTGCATGACACGGGTGCACTCACATACATGTATTCAATACATTCATACACATAAAATAAAAATAACAAATAAAATATAAAAAGAAGAATATTAAAAATTATTTACTTGAGTAAGGCTTCTGACTTTCCCAATATCATAATTCACAGACAGCTAGCTAGGAGAGGGCTTGTCTAGGCCGCTGCGAGCTTTTTTGACAATTCAGTACCAGAAAGGACAGTCTATAAGAGGATAATCACAAGATTTGACTCAAAGGCATTAGAGCCCTCTGGAGCTGACCTTGACCCTACATGCATGGGCCATGGAGGCAGACCGAGTCAGGGAGCTTAGAAGTAGATGGTCAGAACCTCTAAAGTCACCAGGCTAAAAGTTTTCCTTTGAACCAAGCCAGGCACTCAGGCGGATGGTACCTGTTCTATTCTCAATTCCTTCAGAGGGAAGAATCACAAAATCTGCCTTCTCCTCCGACTGGGTTATAATGGATTCACTCTTTGCACTGTGGATTGGACTGGGTGAAGTCAGGCTGTGATCAAAGAAAAGGGAAGAGAAACAATTATTACAAACAGATATTTAGACGTCAACTTTCACAAATTATCCCAGAGACAACTTATTCACCTTGCTGAGTGCCTAACACAGTTTCTAGTTCACAATAAGAACAAATGTTTATTGAATGAATGAAATAAATAAACATTAAATGAATAAGTGAATAGCCCAGTCCTTGGAGGTCTTTTCGACAAGGCTGCCTTTAAGCATAATTGATGGAGATGAGAATAATCAGAATAGCCAATCATCATTTTAAAATGCCATATTTTTGTTTGTGTTGTCCACCACCACCAACCCCTAGGCCCATGTAGCTTTTGGAGCTGGAAGGAAATCCTCTTTCCAATATGCTGATGCTCTCACAAGCAATCAGCAGATCAGCTCTAGACTAATTCCTAACAGGGGTCAGGATAAGGGACAGTTTAGGGGTAGAAACTCCTGGAGTATACAGCGCCTGGATGGACAGATGGGCGGTAATTTATCAACAGTTGAGCCAGAGTATGACAAGAAGAACAACAGCACAAAAAGAGAAAAAACTGCTAATGATAGGAAAAATCAAAGTTTACATGACATACTGTCACCAACAAGTTATTCATATCTTTGCCACAGTATTGTATTTTCAAATTGTCTTGAAACACCTTTCAACAGTTCCTATGTTCCATGTAACTACTAGTCTCAGAGGAATTGTTCAGGTTTCAAGGAAGCAGATTCTAAATCTTCAAGTGGACAAGAGAAGGTGGAGCACGAAGCTGGTACTTCTCTCTGACAGGGATCACGGAGTCTGAAGGGCCATTCCTCTTGGTGCTGCACCTTGAGAACTTCAGCTCTGAAACAATCACAGGGACTGTGGAGTCCTCCAGCTCAGCCCCTCTCAGAAATTCTTCCCAAATCCATCACCCGGACAACAGCAAAAGTGTCTAGGATTCACTGACCCACTTAATGTGCCCCTGAAGTCTCGCAGTCTAATCCTCACAACCAGGACCAGGAGTTAACATTTTGTCCTCCCAGAAACCACTGAAAAACGAGAGGCAAACACAGTAGAAGTAGCCAGATTTCAAAACCCATGGACTAGTATCTCCCCAGTGTTGACAGCTAGAGTTTCTCCATCAGGGTGGAGAAGACCCCCATCAGTACCATGTTCTCTTTCATCTTAGATGTATAGGAAAGAAAATTAAAGAGTTATGTCACTTCAAATTAAAGTTGCTCTACCACATCTGTAGACGCACAGCTCAAAGAGTTGAGAAGAACAAGGGGTAACAGGTAATATTCAGAAATGCTGAGTGTTTTCTAGAATTTTTTTCCCATTTTTCACTATTCAGGCAATCTGACCTCCAGGCCAACTTGAATTCACTCCTGGAAAAGCTCTCATCTATAGGGACTTCTGACTGCTCAGGCTTTTGACCACTTACAGAATTAGGAATCCAGGTGCAACAAAGAAGTCTATGGCAGCTGCTCCTCTTTGAGGAAAATGCCAACATCTCTTTCTCAGCCAACAAGGAGCTATGGCTAACAAGTTCCTCTGCCTGCATTTGGCTGGACCACAGGGATGTGTGAGGCAGATGGGAGGAAGGGTGTAGTGGGAATCTATGATGCTGGAAAACTGCTTTCCTAAAAGCACAGACGCATGCTCAGTTCTTCTGCCCTCTGAAGTGTGTTGCCTCCCATATAAGGGCAAAAGGAGGCGGATGTCTGGATATCCAACCCCACTGGGGGAGTGGCAGAGCAGCCAAAGGAAAACAACATTTCTCTTTCTCAAAATGAGGCTGCCAGGGTAAGCCTGCTGAGGTAAGACCAGGAAACTAGATGACCAAGTCCAAAGTCGAGGGCCCAGGAGGGTGGAAAATGTCAGAGCAGCAGCACCCTAAGTACGTCCTGGATGAGGAAGGCGCATTAAATCCTCTGCCTCAGGTCAGAGAAGTCTCTTCATTTAATTAAGGCTCCTCCCTAATTAGCTTAAAATACTATTTGACAAATAAATAACCCCCTCCTTGCCATCGTAATCCTCTTTGAGGTCAGACTTGTTACAAATTAGGTCCCTTTCCATACAGTTCGTGATCTCCACAGGTCTAATATCTCTCCAATATTAATTCATCATACAAGCAATTATTCCCCAAAAGATACTTCCAAATCAGTTTTTAAAATGGGTAATAGACGAAAAAGAAGGGAGCCCTGAAGTGCTCCCGGTTAGCAGAGACGCAAGATGAAGCTCCTGGAGCCGGCTCGAAATTCCCAAAATCACAGTATTTGTAGTGCTAACCCCAGGCCAGCAGCATATCCTCCAATAGCGCCCCCACTCATCTCGTCCCTGGCTAACCACATCCTTCATCCTCCAATACTGGCCCTACTCCCCCTCACATCGCCACCTCTCGAGCCAAAGTGGCTTAAGCTCACCATTTGACTTGTGTCCCTCCCATGGTCCCCTCTTGGCTCCGGCTTCAGAAAGCCTGCTTCCCTGGATGAGGTGGGAGGCTGAGAGTCACATCGCTCCAAAATTCGGGCATGTGCCCCGGCTCTGGGTCTCCAAGAACGACTCCAGAGACAAGCCAACCAGCAGAAGGGTTTGCTCGGATCACAGGACAAAGTAGGAAGGGCAGAGGTAGGCGACCAGGATGCTGCCCAGGGTGAAGCGCGCTGTCCCGGCAGCTCAGACTCTGCGGCAGCCGGGCCTCGGCAGAACCCGCCTCCCACCGGCTGGTCCCTGGCAGCTGCATCTCGGTCCCCGCAGCCACGCGGCTCTGGGCATCCTCCCGGGCGGAGGCATCTCAACCCATCTCCCGGGGGCTCCCGGTGCCCGCTGCGTGTGGAGTCTGCTCCGCTCCGCGCTGCCTCCCAGACCCCTCCCTGCTCGTTCTCCCCTCCCTCCTTGCCCTTCCCAGGCTGTCACACACACATACAGCCAGGCAGCGCTGGGCTGCGACCCAAGCGCGGCTGACAGCTCTGGGCGGAGAGGTAGGGATGCCTGGTTGGGCCTGGGGCGGGTCCGGACCCGGTGGAGGGAGGGGGAGGGGCGGCAGGGCCGCGCTGAGGCTCTGGTGGTCCTGGTGCCCTATGCATAGCACCGAAAACATTGCTGCTCCCCTCTGACCCCTCCCTCCGTGGACGCGCGGCTTTGAAGCCGATCTAACCTGCTCTAACCCGCAGGCAGCTCTGCCCCAGGGTTGGGGGAAGCTGGCAGGGTGGAGGCTGGAGCTCGCCCCAGCAAACCCACAGAACGCCCATCTGCTCCCACCTTCCTCTCTGGCATCTCGTGTGTTCTCCTCTCCCCCGTCCCCCACCCCCACCCCAACTAAGGATCATTTTCTTGGATACAGTGAGAGGCTGGCCCAAGGTTTAGAGAGCAACAGGCGGGCAGAGCTTCCAGATGGCGCCCCTGGAGCAGCAGTGGCGGACACCTGGGGCTATCCTTCCTATAAGCCACCCCCACTCAAAGCTGCAACATCTCTGGGATTCCTGGGCCTTTCAGGGATCCTAGAGATATTTGGTGGCCTCTCAAGATGGTGAAGGAAATGGGCAGGTGCCATAACCTCCTGATCCCTGATGGCTGTGAGCAGTCCTGTCCTCTGAAGTCTCAGTGAAGAAATAGGCAGAGTGAGCATCCCAAAGCGCACTGGAAGAAAATGGAGGAGAGGGAAACTCAAACTCCTCTGACCCATCTCCTAAGAATCGGTCACCACAAGCCCAACACAGCCTGATTTCCACTGGGTACCAGCAGCTGCTCTCACAGCTCAGGCTCCAGTCTGTGTCCTGCCCAGAGGAAGGAAGTAGATGCTCTTAGGAGACCAGATCCCCCACCCACCCCCACCCCCAGCCCCACT